AGTAAGTTTGGATGCTCCTGCGCCAGAACCTGGACTAAAACCTACACACTTATTTCAGATTACTGTTGGCTGGCCAGTAAAGACTTGCAGTCACTAAATTCAATAACCTAGGGTGTGTCTATATTGCACCATAACTCAAAATAAGATATGCAATTTGAGCTACGTAAATTGCATAATTTATTTCAATGCTATTTCAAAATAGTTTATTTCACCATTAGGCACTATCTATACAGCGCCAAATTTCAAAATAAAGCGCTATTCTGAAACATCCCTTACTCCTTGAGGAATGACGTTTACAGGGATGTTGGAAAAGCGAGCCTGAAATAACGGGTTTGCTGTGAAGACATGGGAGAGCTATTTCGGGATACTCCGATGTCCCGAAATAGCATTGCAGAGTAGAGATGAATTGGTACATATCCTAGGTCTGTGCTTTTTAATCTCAAAAAAGGAACTCAACGAAGAGGCCTAAAATGGAAGTTGTGGGGGGAAGGGGAAAATGGGGGGGGAGGGGCTTAAAAGTAGAGATAGTCAAAAAAAGTACAATTCATGATGGACAAATGAGGGTTTGGTATTTTGTTTTCAGAATTTGTTATTGATGCTGCTGTTTTGTTTTGTTTTTGTTTACAGTTTTGCAAAAATCTGCATCCCGTTTTTCAAGCAGTTCTGCTTGGAAGAGTTTTCTGTTGGTTTATAGCTACTTTAAAAAAAATAGACATATAAGAAATATCAAATGTTCCCTGTTTCTATGAGAAGCCTCCTTGGCAGACCAGAGTACCACAACTTCCTCCTTACAGAAAAGGCAGAGGAGCTACAGATGTAACAAAGAAATATTCTCTCTCATGTTTGTCAGGCACTTGAGTTTTAAAAATTATCAAGTTCCTTGTGTTTTATTAACATTCTTTTCTAACAGATCAGATTTTGCTTGACTTAGTACTTATGATTTAATAATCCCAATAGTTCACTAGCTGTTCATAGAATTGTCCACAAAAACCAGCACAGACAAATGCATAATGTAAGGAGAGTGAATGCAACCTTTCAAGACATCCCCCCTCCCCACAAACCCCATACACACACATCTTTCAGGCATTCAAAACAAGGTCACAAATCCAGTTTTTCCTCTTTATGCATCTCCCCTTGAACACACTGCACGTTGTTCACATCCCTCCTGCAAACAGTGTATTTGTGCTTGCTCCCACTCCTCCTTTCAGAGCAAGACACTGTCCAGCAAAGCAGTCCTCTCACAGCCAGCCCACTTTCAGCACAGGATTATATGCCTGTGCCACAGGAGCCAGATGGCACAGCACTTCTCCTCCTCCCCTGACCTATTCAGACCCTCTAATCATCTTCCAAAGCCTTGGCAACAAAGAAGGTCCCACACCAGCCTGAAAGGCCTCTCACACATTCCTAGCGACCCTTAGCTGATGGCATTGGCCTCCCTTCGTCAGGCAGATCACAGCCCAGGCAAATCCAAGTGGCTCTGTTTGCTGCACATTTTTACCGATCTGAAAGCAAGCTGCTGGAAGTGACATGGGCTTGAAGAGAGATGTGGAGCTGAAGGGGTCTCACTTTTCCCGTACACCACAGCCTGTCAGAGATATTAGTTGGTGGCCCTTTCATGGGACCATGAGCATTTTCATGGCAGGTTCATGAACTCCCCTGGAATGGTCCCTTCTGCAGCACCCAGGTCGCAGCCCTTCTTACAGCTTCTCAAGAACTTCTTATGAGGTGCTGGCTGCACAGTTCCCTGAACCTCCTGCTCTATGCACACCCAATCCCTGAACCCCCCACCCCACTCATGAGACTTCCTCACCATTCATCACTGTAGTATGAGGAAGCTGGATAAAGGGGTGCTCTGTCACTGTGGGCCTGTTTCCATTTCCTTGACAATCTGTGTCTCCAGGCAGCTCCCCTCTGGGCAGCATCCACTGACTCCTTGGATGCCTTTGAGGAGCAGAGGGCGCTGTCAGGGACTCTGCTTCATATCCCCCTTCGGATTCCCCATTATTAGCCTTTGACCTCACTCTTTTGTTGTGACCAAAAATTTGTAGTAGCCAAGGCTCAGTGGTTCCACTCTCTTATCCAAGAGGGACAGACCTCCGCCCACCCACCCTAGTACAACTAATAGTACACCTAGTGCAGAAAGTGTGGTCTCTCCTGCTCTGACATACGCATACAGCATTCACCAGAAAGAAATGGCAAATTACAGCCATATGCCACCACAGTCTGGGGCTTTGCAACAATGCACATGATCACCTGACAGGTAAGCCTTTGCATACCGACAATTTCCAGACTGCCCAACATACAAGTGCAGAGTTCACCCTCTCCTGGGAGCAAACGTTCCTGTTCTCGAGAGGAACTCCCTGGAGAGTGAGCAAACAAGGGATCCATTCAGGAACTGCATGTTTACCACCATCATTCAATGGCAGTGGATTTACAGTGGTGCCTCCCTGCAGAAGCAAGGTGCCGCATACAGCTTTATGGCGCTAGAAGCTGCTTGTCACCTCAAGAAGGCATAAGAGCACACACGTGACAAGAGAAGGCATCCCCAGTGACATACACAGGAAAGCATTTCCTATTGGACCTCCAATAAGGGGCCACATCCTGTTTGCCTGTTGCAGCATCCTACTGAAGTCAGGCAAAGGAGATTAAAGACTGAGCAAAAAGTCAGAGTACTGATACCAGAGGGCAGGCACACCTAAGCCATTTTCCCAGTGCACTAATGTGTAGCATTTCAAGATAGCAAATTGCTTCCACCCATCTTCTCCCCAGAATAAGGACAGAGAGAGGAGATGCCATAAGCAGCAGCCCCTATGGCCTCACACAGTTGTTTCTCTGTATCTCACTGATACACTTGTTAATAAAATACAAACACCTAATTTAATGGTGTGGGATGAATCTGTCACTCCCTGCAGGGATCAGACAACCTGCAGCGCAAGTGCACGGGCAGAAACACTAACCAGTACTCAGCTCAGAAGGATACAACAGAGCTTGTCTGAAAGGCACACTTTGGGGAAAGGGCTAGAATGGTACAAGAGCCAAGGCCAGGGGTTTACCTAACAGCTGTTTCCAGCTCTGAAAAGGTGCAAACAGTGTTCAGCTGAGCCTGGATACCTCTTTTACTGAAACTGAACCCAATGCTCCTGGTGTGGTACAGCATACGTGTCCTTTTTATGGTTTGAAAGGTTAGCAGTGGACGCAGACCAGCCAAAAACTCCTCATCTGCAGTCAAGTTGTACTGAATGCAGCACGTACACCTTATACACAAAGAGGACTCTCCCCCAAATAATGTAGAGGAAGCAGAGTTCTGTTTATCCTATAGGGACTGGGGAGAGACTGATTTAATACCGGAGTTGGGCATATTGGTATTCAAAAGCTAGCCAGAGAAAGCCCAATCCTGAGCCACAGTTTTAAAAGCAGGATTTCACATTGGGGCAAACATGACAGAGACAGAACATTTAAACTAATTTATTTCACTTGCCTTCTTTGCTTCTGTGGCTACATGTTTTAAATTATAACTTTTAAACAAGCAATATGATGACACCTTTCATCCAACAAATGCCACATTCATTAGTGATGTCCAGCTCTGAAAAGGTGCAAGCAGTGTTCAGCTGAGCCTGGATACCTCTTCCGTTTACTGAAACTGAACCCAATGCTCCTGGTGTGATACAGCATACGTGTCCTTTTTTATGGTTTGAAAGGTTAGCAGTGGACGCAGACCAGCCAAAAACTCCTCATCTGCAGTCAAGTTGTACTGAATGCAGCACGTACACCTTATACACAAAGAGAACTCTCCCCCAAATAATGTAGAGGAAGCAGAGTTCTGTTTATCCTATAGGGACTGGGGAGAGACAGGTATTAAAACAGAGTTGGGCATATTGGTATTCAGAAGCTAGCCAGAGAAAGCCCAATCCTGAGCCACAGTTTTAAAAGCAGGATTTCACATTGGGGCAAACATGACAGAGACAGAACATTTAAACTAATTTATTTCACTTGCCTTCTTTGCTTCTGTGTCTACATGTTTTAAATTATAACTTTTAAACAAGCAATATGGTGACACCTGTCATCCAACAAATGTCACTTTTATTAGTGGTGCTTCACAAGGAAGAGGAATAATTGACCTTATTTCATAGATAGAAAAGCTGAGGTATGTGGAACTTAAGTGATTTGCCCAAGGTCATGCACCAATCAGTGGCAGAGTCAGAAATAAACATCAGTCCCTTGACTCTCAGTCCCCTGCCCCATCAAGATAGCAATACCTCCCAGCCTGGTTTCTTCTTGAGTTTGACCATGCAATTAAGTTGTCATCCTCTTTTTACTGCAACAGTCAAATCCAAAGAAATGTTTCTGTCATGAATTCAGCCTCCTGGCTTCACTGACACCAGGAGGAGGATGGGTTAAGAGGAAAAATTCCTTCCCCTTCATCCTTTGTTCATAAACTAAAACATTCCTGAAAACTATTCTTGCCACTTTTGTTAGTTATGAAAACCACACAAAATAGGGAGAGTTAGTTCGAGGGCTCTCACACTTCTCTGGAACATGCACCACTGCTGAGTAGAGAATAATTTTATGGACATCTCTTTTCCAATCTGCCATCTTACAAACTATCCCCTGCCATTCGCAATCACATACAGTCCTGAGGCATCTACAGCAATTCCTTGTGGATTTATAATACTTATGAAACAAGGCGGGATCAGGCAGCTCTCTGTGTATGACCAGCAAATGCCCACAAAGGGCACAAGGAACTACTGGACCCTTTCAACATTCTCCTCAAAGAAACATTCTGATCAGAACTTATTCTGCAGCTGCTACCTCAGTTACATTCAATCTGTGCAAATACAGAGTTTCCATGAGGTTAAGAGACACAGTTAAGACCCTGTTTAATATAAAACAAAGTTATGCTGTAATTGCACTAGGGGGATATGGTCATTGTAGGCCAGGTGTCCCAATAGGTCATGTTTTTAGCACAGACAGGCCCTTAGGAAACAACCTCACTCTCTCACCTTATTGCTGATGTCCTCTCGCTTGTTCCTCGGCTTGCTCCTTCTCAGTTTAATGGACGGAGAGCGAAGCAGGTTTTTTATCCTGCTTGTTATCGTCGATCCTTCAACAGACATCATAGCTAGGTGAAGGGGGAGTATCACTCCACTCCAAAACAAGTGTCAGTGAATCAGCCCAGCTTTGTGGACAGCACACACAGGAGCTCACGGCCACCTTACAGTCCTTCACATGTCTCTCACTAACTCGGTTTTCTGGGGATGCCCCACTCTGCTTCACCAGAACTCGTGAGCTTCTGGGCCAAGGGGTTGGAGTATATTTTCCGATTTCTCCTTTGCAGACCACTTATATCCTTAAAAAACAAAAACAAGAATGCATGGGTCAAAAAGCCATTCCCAATAGACTGTACGTTCATATTGCTAAGGAACACAGAGTGAAAAGCAGATAACGTACAAGTCTTTCTCGCTTCAGGGGGTAGCTGAGTTAGTCTGTGCAGGATAAACTTAAAAAACAGCAAATTGTCTGGTAGCACTTTATAGACTAACAAAACATGCAGATGGTTCTGTCTGAATGGGGTATCATTCATTCATGGTGGCAAATAAGTTTGGTTAAAGTTGCAAATGACATTTTTGCATTTTATTAGCCATTTACAAATCTAGAGAGACATAATTTTGATGCACTTGACCAGAGAAATTTCAGGACTTAACTTCTAAACACTGATACATTAATCCTCCAGCTGGGTCCAGGCAAGCAGCCCCTGCAACTTGTATGGAGCAGCCCATTACTGTCAGCAAGAGTTCATGCAAACATATACAATTGCACAATCAGGGCCACTTCATGTTCTGTGGGTTTATAAGGTGCAAAGCACAATGTCAATGTTTAAGTAACTAAACACAAATACAAAATATAAGTCACCTTAAGGTACCAAGAGTAAACAAGAGACAGACTGCTGTCTCTTTAAGGTGCCTGTAAATTTAGCTCTGCTTTTTAATATACTGTATGTCATCTAAATATAAAGTCATACAATATTACACGCACCTATTTATAAAGAAGATCAGCAAGGAACTGTGACCGCTGGCAAGGATTATCGCTCTCTCAGGCCAAACCTTCTACACCTTCACCCAAGCCACCGAACTGGGGAGAAGAGAAATCAAGTCAGGTTTCTAAATGAAGTAGTTTGCACCAAAATATCCTCCTTGCTTTCATACAAGGTGGGGGGGAAACGGGGGGAAGGAGGTGAAAGAATGTTACAGTCAGCAAGATCCCGAGCCCTTTCAGAGAGTATTGCCCACTCGTTTAGCAGCAAGCAGATTGTGGAGACGGGAGGGGGGATTAGATTTGTTTTAGTTAAACCCAACCCCCCCCCCCCCCAAAAGAACTTTTCCGGCAGGCGGCTGCCCGGCCCGATTGCTATTTTACCTTGGTGCAGGAGGAGCGGTGTCTGCGGCGCGGAGCGGGGGGGCAGCTAGGAAGTGCGATTAGCAGGGATTTATCCGAGGCTCTGTCCATCCAGCCAACCTTCCCTGCAAGAGCCTCCTGCTGCCGCTGCGGGTGTCACGGGCAGGGGAGCCAGCCCCCGGCTGCAGCGAGAGGCAGGAATCTGTCCCCACTTCGGGGAGGTTTTTAAGAGTGCGGGAGGATCGTCGATCCTTCAACAGACATCATAGCTAGGTGAAGGGGGAGTATCACTCCACTCCAAAACAAGTGTCAGTGAATCAGCCCAGCTTTGTGGACAGCACACACAGGAGCTCACGGCCACCTTACAGTCCTTCACATGTCTCTCACTACCTCGGTTTTCTGGGCATCGGCTGCGCCCGGCTGCTGCAGCCCCAGCGCTCACACACGCAGCCCCAGCCAGGCGGCTTCCAGGGGCGACGGTGGCTCAGGCGGATCAAAACGCGAAACTGAAGGACTCAAAAAAAAAGCGAGAGAGGCTGAGGCTGCCGGGGGGAGGGGGGGGCAGGGGGACTCCGCACACGCACAACCCCACGCAGCGGAG